AGCAAGACAAATTTAAGGTAATTAAAGAATTTTGAAAAATATATGTATTTACTAACTAATAATATATTCTTCCGAATTTCTTTGTTCTAAAATAAAAAATATAATTTCTAAACTTCAAATTGGCAGCTATTACATCTCGTCATGCACATGCATTTACTCTTTTGTCACTGAATTTGTCGATCTTTAGACCGAACATAAACTAGTAACACAGATAAAGTTACCATCTGTTTTATAAAAGTAATATTTATTCTTTTCAGTTACGAAAGTAATTAATAATTATCATGTATTGTCTTGGAAATAGTTAATATTTGATACTTCATGTATACATTAAATAAAGCAAATAAAGACTAAATTGTCCACAGTAAACCAATCAAAAAGCAAGCATGCAAGTTACTAGATAAATTATGATACCGTTGCATAGTCTCGTAAATTGTGAATAAGTTCGCTTTTCATAAGCGAAGAAGGTCTCAATGAACTCTGACAGTTGACGGTCTTCCTTGCATGTAATGACATGGTACTATATGATCTTAGTTTCAATTATGTGTATAGAAGTTTCGTATAATATAACAGTCTATAATATAATTAATTACAACATATAAAAATATATTTAGTTAAGTGAAAGAGTATTGTAAAATGTAATTTATTTTTTGAAATAAATGACATGACACTAACATAGTAATCAAAAACCGACATTTTTCGTCATGAATGACGATTTACTTATTCATGTTTTTGAAACATTTTAAATTTATTGAATCTCCAAGGTAAGATCAAATAACATTACACTGCAAAATTTGCAATAAATTCTTAAAAGTTTTGTAATTACAATTAATTGTTTGATTTAGATTAGTTTTAGAACAATCACATAATGGCCTCTGCAATGGAACAGCAACAGCAAACCACTTTAGAATTTTATCAAGCAATGGCTGATTTCAAAAACATGTTTCCTCAAATGGATGATGATGTGATTGAGGTAAAATCATTTAATTAAAATATTGTATCATATTAGGTAACCATAAAAAATTTGTGTTCTAAATGTATATTAATACAATGTTATACTTAATTATATATCCTACTAGATGTATATGTTATGTTAAATATTAAATGCATAATACAATATACATGAAATACTACTGAAAACTTATTTAAAAATTTTGTTACTTATATACATGTTTAGGCTGTATTAAGATCTAATCAAGGAGCTGTAGATACAACAATTGATCAGTTACTTACTATGAGCACAGATAATGAAAATGAAAAAATTAGAAGTGAATTAGAGCAAAATGAAAAGTCACCTAGTACCTCTAAGTCACCAAAAGCAGATTCAACTATATCTTTAAAAACTATACGTAAATGGCAACCTGCTTTATTAGGACCATTACCAGATACATTCCTTAGACTTCCTCAACAAATTCCTGAAGACAGTTTGGATTCATCATATTTACAGGAAAATTCAATGTTAGAAGATGAAAGAATTGCTATGTTTCTTCAAAATGAAGAATTTATGGCTGAATTACGTTGGAATGAAGATTTTTTGTCAACTTTAGAAAATGGTTTGTAATAGGCAATCATAATCTTTATACTACAGAAAATTTAGAAAATACATGACATTACAGTTATTCGTATTATCTTTATTATAGATACAAAAATTCAAGGAACAAATCTTGAAAAATGTAGTGGACAAATTGATCACGATGATGAAGATCTTTTTAAAGAAAGATTGAAAAATATGGGCAAAAGTATGAAAAAATTTACTATTTATTATACAATTATATAACTTGCAAAGTTCAGTTTAACATATCCTTATCTTGACTATGTTTCAGTGTCTCGACGTAAGTTTGCACAACTTACCAAAGTGTTTACACGTAGTAAAAAACGTGGAGGTAGACAATTATTACCCCCAACTGCTTCTTGTGACGATTTATTAGATCCAGAAGAATCATCTAGATTTCAGTCTTAGAAACCATACCAATATTTTTTTTGTTATCAAAAAAATAATTTGAATACTTGATACATACCGTAATTTATCGTCCAGAAGTGAAAAAGAAGCATATCTATATCAATAACTGAATGGAAATTTACAAAGAAAATTTAGATGAAAATAGTTTTGTCTATACGGATCATTTAAAATAGGTGTTGATTTGCAGGATTCATGTTCTGTAGACTTAATTAACTTAAGTCAATACTTATTGAGTTGCTTAGATAGCAGTTAAATTTAAGAGCTCAAAAAGATCAAAAGGCAAAATGTAGGAATATCCTTAGATATTATTTAAAAAAATGCAAAACTACAGAATATTTCATATTTTAATATTGTGCTACAGATAAGTACATACTCTACATAGTAACAGTACAATAATTACAACAGTCATACTGTTAAAATAAGGATCTGTGAAATTTTGATGAAAAAATTCTTTTTATTGTAACATTGTGAATCTCATTTGAAGCTTTAAGGATATTGTACATAGAATACAGAATAAGCAATATTTATAGCAAAAAAATTTCTATCTAAAGTTAGTATAAACATTAAAAGTAAAATTTAGAATTAGTTAATTTTTCATTTTGTATTTGATTTGTAAGTAATATTAAAATTCACCTCATATAAAAATCATAGTGAGAAGTACTTTTAAATTTGCTAGTATAAAGGCAGACTTCCTTTTGTATTACTATACATAATAATAATGCTTTCATATCTATAAGTACATTTTCAAAAACACCTATCTAATTAGAGTTGTAAGAGTAATGAATTCTAGTCTGTTTGTCTAGCCATTACTTATTTAATAATAAATATCAAGTATTGCAACTTTATTGTTAGTGTACAGAATCTTTATATAAATGCGCGTAATTATATATGATGTGCCAGAGGCATTAAAATGAATATAAAAATACCTTTAATAATACCAATATTAGTACTTAACTATATAATTTTTAGTGTTTCTCATAAATCAAAGTTTATTCAACACACTAACCTGTACTTTTATTTTCTCATTATTGTAATATATAAGTTACAAAAGGATTATGAAAATAAAGTAAATTTATAGCATATGAAATGTTTTAAAGCTATTTTTATAAAGCATATAATAGTATTATACATTGTACAATTTGGTGTTCTTTACACAGTAATAATGAAAAATATGAAATGAAAGTGTTTAACAGTTCAAATGTAATAGTGATGAACATATTAGTTATGTACTTTACTAAACTTGTAGTAATTTCCATTGTTAAATATTATGTATCAGTCTGTTTAAAGAACACTCTAGCTCCGGATAAACTATAATAGAGTAATTGGAATTCAGCACTTCTTTCTTTTAAGCGTTTTAATGTTAATGCTCTTGTTTGTTGCAATTTTTCATCTCCATGATCATTTTTACTTTCTACAGTCTGCTTTTCAGCATTTATATGTTGTTCAACTGTTTTAAACCAATGTAAACTATCCAGCTCTGATGACTGATTTAAAAGAGCATTTATGTATGCAATTCCCATTGCAAAACCATCATCAGTAAAAGCTGCACCTGTTTGATTTTTCTTAAACATTTTCTCTTTATTTGATATTGAATTATCCACAAAACTTAACGTTAATGGAGGTACAATAGCATAAAATTGTTGTAAATGATATGATTTAGTATCTCGAAAAGCAGATGCAAATACATCAACAAGAAGTTTGAAATATTGTATACCCTCTGTAAAGTTTCGTACTAAGTTTGCAATATCGTTTTCTAAACATTTTGCTGCTGCTTGAGTTGTTGCACTATAATTTAAATTTTTACACATCAATTCAAATGGCATAGATGAATTAATGTTTGGCAGAAATGAAATAGCATTTGCACTTGCGTGTAATCCACCAGATCTAATTAATCGTACATATCCTAATGCATTTCCAATCTGAGTTATTAATTGTCGAAATTGATCTAAATAACTCAAACCATCAGGTGTCATACCCAATTTTCTGATTCCTTTTTGAAATTTTTCTGCTCGTTCATATGTATAAGGTGTTGTTCCATTTTCTCTTTGAACTTTAATAAACCTTATATCTCTCATTAATCTTGATTTTATGTGTTCATCAAAAAGAAATTGTGAAAATGTGTGTAATTTTAGACGAAGAAATTGGTACACAAAGTTAACTGTTGTACTCATAATGCCAGTTCCATGTGTTCTGATAGAATTCGCTATATGTCGAATTCCAATGGTATTTAGATATTTATTATTACTAGTATGTTCAATAAAGGTCTGAGTATTTAAATTATACAGATATTTGGAAACAAATACATGAATGTTTCTCATAATTTCTAAAGCATCCAAACCTTGTTCTAAAGTTTGTGTAGGCAAATGATTTTGTACAGTATCAAGATTTAATTTATAATGAGCCAAAGCATGCATCATTCGATATGTTTTCCAATCATGCAATGCTACTGTAGTAAGACTATAAAACATATCATCAAGATAATGTTCAATAAATCGTTTGGCATATATCATAATGTTAGCTAGAGGTAATGGTAACGATCGTACTATTCTTCCACCATCTTTTACTCCAATATCAAATGGATTGGTAGAATCTAGCTTTAAATGTGCATGAACATGAAGCCTCAAATTAGTCTCAATCTCATGACACACAGGTTGTAATATGCTTTTAGTTAACATTTCTTTTAGTTGTGTAATTCTTTTCTCTTTTAAATTCAATCCTTCTTGTTCACTAATAGTACTGTTAAATGCATTAAACAAGTGAACAATATGGTTTATACTTAAATTACTATTTGCTACAGAAAAGAAGTAAGCTGGAATTATGTTTTGGTGATGGAGCAATATTGAATAATCACAGTGTTCTGTAATAATATTATGCAACTCAGCAACAGTATCATAATGATCTAATGAAAACCTTAATTTCACTATATCCTCTTCTTTAAAAGCATCTGACAATTGACTAGCACATGCTAGAGCACATCTGACTATTAATCTTCTATCTGCACTTGCTGGTCCACTTAATAATCTCATACTCAAACCTACTAATGACAATGCATCTAATTTTTCTTTGCTATAACCTTTATCCTTCTGAATCAAACTTTTCCGTGTAGTTTCTAATGTAACTAAAATGTAATAACTCACATATTGTAATACTTGACTTTGTGATTGCACTATAACTGGTCCCAATATATAAAATATAGTCTGCAAAGACTTTTGTACTTCTATTAATCTACAGATTAACTGAACAGTGTTATAATTCATTGGTTTAATTAGAGTTGCATGCATATTCATTATAAAAGATATAATTTCTTTAATTTGTGATAATAGAGCAACAAAGTCTATTAATAGAAACTGTTTTTGCCTAATATCTGAGACTTGAAGGCTATTCTTCATCAAAATACTTTGCATTTCAATGCACCATGTTACTGCTCTATGAACTAAATTGTTTACAGTCTGCGATAGTTTCTGTATTCTTGAGCACAATATCTTTTCTCCTACTTGTTGATTAATGGTATTGCCAGCTTCCTTTGGCAAAAAATCACTTAAAAATTTACTTGGAATCCACATAACATTTCCAATTAAAGTTATAGCATAAAACTTTCTATTACTTTCAAGTACTCTTTTAATTAATCTTCTATCACAGACACCAAATAATTTTGTTATTATAACAATACCAATATTCACTCTAATCCAATTTTTGTTCAATATTACATTATCATTTGGTTTATTTTCTATGTCCAAACTTAAGTTCTTTAAGTAATGCGTAATTTGTTCGCTCATTGTAGGTCCTTTATTTACATCCATTACATGTTCAATTGTTTTTGTAAATAAAACTTTCTTTAATAAATGTTCTTGCAAATCTTTCAATAACTTATCAAATGTATGTAGCTTTGATTCACTTATGCCAAATTGTGATGGATTATGCATAATAGAACGCACATTCATTCTATATTTTTTCCATTGTTCCAAAAGTGATGGCTGATATTCAACAATTTCATCCAGTGTTAAAACAATTACAAATAAATCAATAAAATGCTCTATTAATACAGCTAAATAAACTTCATTAGGATCACCCGATAGACTAGATAATTGTTCTGTTGTCAAATGTGCCACTGTCCACACTCTATTTACAAAAACAAGCAAATCTTGTAGATCTGCCAGAAGAGATGTAATATTATTATGATTATTCTCTGCACTTTTTTCCCCATGAGTAAATAATTTTTTGTAAAAGGTTTTAGCTTCCATTTCGAGTAGTCTAATTTCTCTGCAGGTGCCAGCAACTGCAGCAAGTAATTTTGATAAGAATTTGTTCTCCATTTCAGTTAAATATATAAGGCTAATATCTTCGTTAGGTCTGTATACAAGCCGAAGAGGACCTTCCATAAAATATTCCAATAGAGAATCATTTTTCCAGGTTTTTTCTGCTAAATTTTCGAAAAATTGTCCATATTTCCGTAAATGTATTGAACCTGCTGCCTTATATATGGTTTCATCCCTTTTTGGATTCCATGCAGATGATTCTATCATTGTAATGTTTATTTTTGTAGTTTTAATCAAAGCAATGATTAAAATACTGATTTTGTTAGCACTCAAAAAACGTAAAATATAATTTTCAAATTTGTATCATATCTTGTAGTATTTTACACAGGCTTTATCCTTCTATATTTTCGTGACATTACCATCAAAGAATGATATCTTTAATAACTTTTTAATATTATAACACTGTCATTTTTTGCATATTTACAAAAGAATGAAATGTGAAGGTGGATATCGCAAAAAATTGATAGTTGTTACTGGTTAAAATTGCTAGATGGACTACTCTATTTACGTGTTTGAATTCCTTCAATAACAAAAGTTTATTAGATTAAATAACAAAATAATTAAATAGAATTTTTGTAAATAAAAATAACGATGAAAATTTGGATACACTGTTTCAGTTCTATTACTTGAAAAAAAATTTCTAGGGAATTTAATAGATTGTCGTCTGTTGTTACCGTTGAATGCACTTTCTCGTACAATATAATTCAACTATCTTCAATTTAATCATTCATAACATTGTGACACTATATAAATTCTTTGTATAGTAACAGTGTGAGAATCACCTAATTCATGTGGTTGTTGTTATGTGAATTTTTGTTGTTTCTCTTATAATGATATAACAAGATTCAATATATCTTCTTTTGAACATGCACACGAGTCAACAATATAATATTGTGTACATTATTAATCATTTAAATTTTGAATAATAAATATTAGTGTGAAAGATGGATACGTCGAATGACTCAAGTTTATATAGGTTAGAGGGTACTGATAAAAATCAAGCAGGAGGATTGATTATTCGAAAAAGACCCTCTGATCATACATTTAAAAAACCTCAAGTATCCGTTTTAGGTCTTGATAAACTTGCAAAACGAAAAAGGCAAGAAAATTCACAAGAAAGTAACTTATCAAAATCCGAGTCCAGTTCGTCAAAAGCCGAGGTTAAAGAAAGAAAATACCGATCTTATGCTGAAGAAACACCAACACATACTGGTGGAGTTAATTCTGAAGCACAGCAAAGATTGGAATCACGTTTAAAACATCAGAGATTGAGTGCACAGGACAAGCATCATAGACATGCATATAGAGATCGAGATAGAGATAGAAATAGAGAAAGAGAAAGGAGTAGAGGTAGAGATAGCATTAGAGATAGTAGCAGACAAACACCTTTAAGATTTAAAGATGAACCACAAACTCCAGTATTTAAAACAAGGGTAAGTGCTAAACTTTATGTAATTGCATATTCTTATCATTGCCTTGTAAATCTAAATACAAAATTTATATTTCTATGTGTTGTTAAGAGTGTAGAATAATACAGTATTATTGCAGGATCCGACATCTAAAAGTAATTGGGATGATGATGAAGATGAAGAACCAAGAAAATCAAGTTGGGATCATCCAACACCAAATCTTTATAACAGTAAAGATGGTCGAGATAGTATTAGAAGCGAATTCACACCTTCATATAAATATAATTCTTGGAATAAAGATCGAAAAGCTAGTGGTGCTACACCTAGTATAGATGGAGAAGAAAAAGAGCTATGGGAAGAAGAACAGCAAAGGTACTGTACTAGTTATAATGTTTAGAATAAATATATTTTTGTTCTTTACAGTTATTAAGAGTTAAATATTTGTCTTCAGATTGGACAGAGAATGGTATGCTTTAGATGATGGAGAAAATCATGCATTTGCCGATGTATCTGAAGAATACACACGTAAAAAAGAAATGGAACTTGAAGCAAAAAGACAGAAACGTCTTTCTGCACAGCAACGACAAATAAATAAAGACAATGAATTGTGGGAACGTAATAGAATGTTAACATCTGGTGTTGTAAGTTCTTTAGAGCATGATGATGATCCTGATGATGAAGGGGAAACCAGAGTTCATCTCCTAGTTCATAATGTTGTTCCACCATTTTTGGATGGTAAAGTACTTTTTTAGATTTGATAATTAATTCTACTTATTCAATAAAATAGAATACATTGAACTACTTTTTTACGTTTTAATATAAATTTTATTAGAAAAAGATTAAGTAGTACAGAAAAATTGATTGTAGCACACATCCTCGAATTGTATTCACGAAACAACCAGAGCCTGTTGTACCTGTGCGTGATCCTACTTCTGACATGGCTCTTGTAGCAAGAAAGGGCTCAGCTTTAGTACGAGCATATCGCGAGCAAAAGGAACGAAAAAGAGCACAAAAAAAACATTGGGAACTAGCTGGAACTCATATTGGTAACATTATGGGTGTACGTGACAGGCACAAAGAAGATAAGGAAGACCCAGGGCAAGAAACTGATTTTAAAGCTGGTCAAAAATATGCACGCCACATACGAGGTGATGAAGTTACTGGAGAAGCTAAATACAGGTCTATTCAGCATCAAAGGAGGAGTCTTCCAGTGTTTGCTGTACGTCAAGAATTGTTAAATGTAATCAGGGAAAATAGTGTGGTAGTTATAGTTGGAGAAACTGGCAGTGGAAAAACTACACAATTGACACAGTATCTTCACGAAGATGGTTATAGTTGCAATGGCATAATTGGATGTACACAACCCCGAAGAGTGGCAGCTATGTCTGTGGCTAAAAGAGTTTCTGATGAAATGGCCACTACTTTAGGAGATAAAGTTGGATATGCTATTCGTTTTGAAGATTGCACTTCAAAAGATGTACGTATTATATTCCTACATTTCATAAAAAGTAGAATTTTAAAGAGAATTGAAAACAAACTATTTTTAAATCATTTCATTCTTTCTTATAGACAGTTATTAAATATATGACTGATGGTATTTTATTAAGAGAAAGCTTGAGAGAGGGGGATTTAGATCGATACAGCGTAATTATTATGGACGAAGCTCATGAAAGATCTTTATCTACTGATGTTCTGTTTGGTTTATTAAGAGAGGTAAATAATCTTTAGAACAATGTTTGATATATATTGTTTAACTGAAACTAATTTATATTTACTAATTTTTTACTTATTTATTACATTTTAAGGTTGTAGCTCGACGACATGATTTGAAGTTGATTGTGACTTCTGCTACAATGGATTCTAGTAAATTTTCAGCATTTTTTGGGAATGCTGCAACATTTCAAATTCCTGGCCGCACATTTCCAGTTGAGGTATTGCACGCAAAAAATCCAGTAGAAGATTATGTTGATGCTGCAGTGAAACAAGTGTTACAAATTCATTTACAACCACGTTCCGGTGATGTACTGGTATTTATGCCTGGTCAGGAAGACATTGAAGTTACCTGCGAGGCTTTGAAAGAACGCTTAGCGGAGATAGAATCAGCTCCTCCACTTTCCATTTTACCTATTTACTCACAATTGCCTTCAGATTTACAAGCAAAAATTTTTCAACGTTCAGAAGGAGGTTTTCGGAAATGTGTTGTAGCAACAAATATAGCTGAAACTTCATTGACTGTAGATGGAATTGTATTTGTTGTGGACTCAGGATATTGCAAATTGAAGGTTTATAATCCACGGATCGGTATGGATGCTTTACAGGTATATCCTGTATCTAGAGCTAATGCTGATCAGAGATCGGGAAGAGCAGGACGTACTGGTCCTGGCACTTGCTATAGATTGTATACACGGAGACAATATTTGGATGAATTATTATTAACTGGAGTTCCAGAAATACAACGAACCAATTTAGCAAATACTGTATTGTTATTGAAGTCTTTGGGTGTTCAGGATTTATTAGCTTTCCATTTTATGGATCCTCCGCCTCAAGATAATATATTAAATTCCTTATATCAGTTATGGATTTTAGGCGCGCTAGATCATACAGGACGTTTAACGCCTTTAGGACGACAAATGGCAGAATTTCCATTAGATCCACCTCAATGTCAAATGCTTATAGTTGCTTCTCAACTTGGCTGTACTGCAGATATACTCATTATAGGTAAGTTCATAAATTCTTTTCTGTTTTGTTATAATTTTATTTAACAGATAATGGTCTTTGTAAATTAAAATGTTTTCTTAGTTTCTATGCTCTCGGTACCTTCGATATTTTATCGACCGAAAGGACGTGAAGAAGACTCTGATTCAGCTAGAGAAAAATTTCAAGTACCAGAGTCTGATCATCTAACGTATTTGAACGTATATAATCAGTGGAAGGCAAATGGATATTCTAGTTCATGGTGCAACGATCATTTTATACATGCAAAAGCTATGCGCAAAGTGAGAGAAGTCCGACAGCAGCTTGAAGAAATATTGAAGCAACAAAAAATGGAAGTTGTGAGTTGCGGCACTGATTGGGATATTGTACGAAAATGTATTTGTTCAGCATACTTTCATCAAGCAGCTCGTTTAAAAGGTATTGGCGAGTATGTGAATTGCCGTACCGGAATGCCATGTCATCTGCATCCAACGTCAGCTTTGTTTGGTATGGGATTCACTCCAGACTATGTAGTATACCATGAACTTGTAATGACTGCCAAAGAATACATGCAATGCGTAACTGCCGTTGACGGGCATTGGCTAGCTGAATTAGGACCTATGTTCTTTAGCGTTAAAGAAACTGGACGAAGTGGACGAGCAAAAAGACGTCAAGCAATGCAACATTTACATGAAATGGAAGGACAAATGAAAGAAGCGGAAGAAGAAATGAAAGCACGAGCACAAGAACAGCTTGAACGAGAGCAAGCTTCTATCAGGAAGTAAGTTGTTTCTTCTAATTTTTCACATTTTCCTTAATTAGTTTATCAATTTATTAATATTTATTATTTCACATTACCTCCAGAAAAGAGATACTGACGCCAGGTATCAGAGAACCGGGAACACCTGCTCCTTATCGTAAAACTCCAGGTAGATTGGGGTTATAATCGTGATTTTAAAATGTGTAAATATGATTAATTGTGATTTTCATTAGTTCATGGAGTATACTGTATCATAATTAAGGTACAAATAATGTTACGTAATAATTAAAAATACTTTGATATATTTGTTATTTTTTAATGACATATACGTATTGTGTAAGTGTATTTTGTATATAAATATAGACTAATTTTTCATAAAAGTTGAAATATTGAATATAA